GTGGCGCGCGCGACACGGTTGCTATCGTCGTCGTCGCCAGCGGCCAGCTAAAACTCGTCGGTGGCCTCGAGCCCCAGCTGCAGCAAAGAGAGGAGCGAGCGGCACGGGGGGAGGAAAGGAATGACCGAGGGTTTCGGTCGATCCCCTTGCTCCCTCGGTTTTTGATCGAGCGATCTCCACGGGCGATCGTCCGATCTGTTGGACGGCTAAGATTGGCTGTCGGCAGTAAACCCTAGCAACCTCAAGCGCCTGGCGGGCCTTGGGCTGCAAACGAGCAGGCCATAGAGCGCAACCGGGCACAGGGCGGCTGTTCGGTCAGCAGGCCGTGGGCCGCGATAGGGCCAGGCCACACCGAAACTGTTTCTTCTGTTAATTTCTCCAGAAGCAATTTTTAATGAATCTCTATACAGTGTTAGAGTTTTAATGAAAAGTAAAAGAAAAGTTTCTAAAAAGAATAAAGTTCATGAATTTTTATTCATATTTTCCACTGCAGATAGATAAAAAGTGCTCTTTTAAAAGTTAATTAAACTAAAGTAAAAAGATTAAATTGTTGCTTCTCTAATGCAGTTTTGAACCAACCGGTTAAAATTGCTTAGAGAGTAAAAGATTATAGAATTGTTTCTGAATAGAATATTGTAAAGTTTCCGCTGCAAAGTAAAAGTTTTATCCTCCAATTAAATTGGAACCAACAGGGATAGTTTTCGCTATGACAAAAGAATGATATCTGTTTTAAAGATAAAATATGGTATTGTTATTTTCTGACCAACGTTGATGATAATAGTACTATAATTCTACGAGTCTTATGTTCAAAGCTTAAATCTCTGATAAATTTTGTATCAAAGTGATCAATTTTCAGAGAACAGATAAAGATCAAGAAGTGCTCTTGAACTAGAGAAATGTATATTTCTTGTTCCCACTGCAATAAAGTTGATGATGATTATTATTTCTTAGTAAAGTTGTTTAATAGAAGTACTATCATCACATTGTTTATGAGTTATATGCATTAT